GCTCTAGCAGGGGCCCCAAGACTCGAAAGCACGCTGGCGGAAGTCTTCGAGCCACGGGGCCACGAGGGGCGCGTCGGGGGAGATCATCTGGGCCCCAGTACTGCAACCCAAATTCGCTCTTGTGGTTGAGAACCTTCAAGGGGTCTGCGATAATCTCCTCGTCGACCGGGCTAGACACGCCATTGTCTTCTCCAGGAGCGGGCCCAAGGACCTCGGTGATATGATAAGCGCCGCCTCGCCCATGAGCGAGGGGATCATGTGGCCAGGCCTTGAACGCAGTCTCCAGCTGCATCAGGGCCTCATCATCGAGGTGCTGAACTATCAGCTCGAGCTGGACACGGGCATCGAGGTGCGATGCGACCACTCCCGATCCAGCAATGCACGACTGTGCCGGGGCCTGTGGAGCTGGCAGAAGGCCCGGCGGCCAAACTGGGTTCGCCTGCAAGACGGACGCGAGGCGCCCCTGGAGCCGCAGGAGTTCCCGTGAGCTCGGGTGGCGCATGAGAAGATGATCCGGTTCCGGAGCCCGCTGCTGGACGACCCCCCCCTGGCGACGTTCATGATGGAGCCGATGCTGAGGAGGAGTGAGAGGTGGGGTATCTCTCCAGATGACTCCGAACCCGCCCCCGCGACTGCCCCCGAGATGCGGGCCAGCTGAGGCCCCGATGCACCGGCCCTCGAGGGCCCCGCTGAAGCTGCACTTGTGGGTGGGTAAAGTGTCTATGGGGAGGCTCGCGCTGGTCTGGCTGCGCCTGCAACTGGATGCTTGACTGAGGCTGCCTGCCGAAGAAGCCCTCCTTGATGGTGGAGTGCCCCAACTCGGAAAACTGCGCGAAGTCCGATGCGTGGCTTCCACGGATAAATCCAATCGGTCTCGACTGACAGGTAATCGGAGATGGACTCGGGGATGGTGAAACAATCGATGAGACGACCGTGCCGACGCGAAGTCTCGATGCCAGCCGTTGCGAAGATCCCTGACATTTTCCTGACCCAGGGGGGGCCTTCCAGGAGCTCCTGGTCTATTATTTTGAAATCTCCCGAGATGATTAACGGGAGGCCCAGGGAAATTAAGAAAACCGAGATCTCCTGCACTACCTTGACATTGGAACTGTTGTGGCCGACCCCGACTGGAGGTCGGCGGCGGGCAGACTACGTCGCGGGACTGCGCGCGGAGCAAACAGGCCGCCCAGCTAGTGCCCCCCACCAGGGGCTTCTTGTTGCCCTTCCCCATCATGATCCGCGAGCGGGAGTGAAACTGCCGAGTGGCGAAGAGTCCGAGACCACCTGAATTGCCGCCGTCTGACGTGGCTGTGGCTTGACATGGGTCGCTCTTGTAGCCGAGCTCCCCCATGAATTCACGTGCCTCACCCAACTTCCCCGACGTCAAATACCCTCCCCCCTCTCCGGGGGCAAAAATATGGGGAAGTCAAACAACTGAGGACGGAAACTAATTCCTGGCCTTGTGGCTCCAATTCGTGATTTTGGCGCGATAGATGTGAAACTCTGCCAGGGGCTCGGGGGGGCTTTCGCTGAGGCTGCTCAGCGGGATTGGACCCCCCCCCGATCCCTGGACTCCCCGGGGTAACTGCGGCTGTGCCGATCTGCTCCGCGAGCTGGTGGTACGGATGTTGCTGCCTCGCGGCCGCGAAGCCCACTGGCGTCCTCGTCGGTCTTCTTGGGCGTGGCTTGTTCACCTCGCGCTTCTTGGCGGGCGGCAATTTGGTGTATGCGGCAATGAGCTTGGCGATGAAGGCGTTGGCCTCGGTGTCTTGGTCGCCTTCCATCTCCTCCATGTGGCGTTTGATGTTCTCGGGGGTCTCTGGAAAGCTGGGGATCTCCGCCTCTTCCTCATCAGCTTCATTTTCGTCCATGGCGGCGGCGGCCGCTACTGCTGCCTCGGCTGGGTCTCCAAGACGACCCCCGCCACTGGCCCACTTCCCCGTGACCTCGATGCTGGCCTTCTCGAAGGTGGCACGGGCTGCTTTGAACTCGGTGGTGGGCTCTGCCCCCAGGCGGTCCACCGTGCTGGTCAGGTTCTCGGGTTGACGGGCCTTCTGCAGGGCCTGGGTGGCGGAGGTGGCTGGGTTATTCACATTCTGCGGTGCCGCAATGTTCTAGCTATTGGAACGCACTGTCACCAAGGATGGTCTTCTGCTCAGGCGTGAGGGCCCCGAGGAGGAGAGTCAGGATCTCCTCGTGCGTCGCCGAAGGACTCCTTCTCCTTGTCCTTGTCCTTGTCGGTATTGCCCTGGTTGCTGTGGCCGCCTGGGCGTCCGCCTGGGAGGTCGAAAGGTTTGCCACATAGACAAAAGACCTTGCTCCTGGCCTTATTCGGATACTGCCGCTCCTTGCATGCACTGCGCACGAAGTACTGCCGCTCCTTGGGCTGAACATTCTGCGTCTGGTACGCCCACCAACCCATGGCTGCTGAGCTGGGAGCGGGCGGGCGCGGCCCGCGGTGGGCTGGGAGGCCCCTGGCGGCCCGAGGGTGGCCACGGATGGGCCAGAGCTAATCGCTGGTTCTCGGGCGCCTGCAGCCCTCCACAACGTTTAGCCTTGAACCAAAATGGCTATATACGGACTACCTCCTCCGCCCCCCTCGCCCGCCCCCTCCTCCTCCTCCTCCTCCTCCTCCTCCTCGTCCTCGTCCTTCTCGGTGGGGGCGGCGGAACAGAAAGGTGAGGAGGAGCTGGGGGAGGAGGGGATGGGAGAAACTGCCCCTGGGGGGACGAGGGAAAGGAGGTGGGAGGCGAACAGAAAAGGGGAGGAGGAGCGGGGGGGAGGGGAGGGGAACTGCCCCCTGGGGGCAGGAGGGGACGGAGCGAAGGGGGGGGGACGAGGAGCGGAAGGAAAGGGGGGAGGAGGTGGCCCAGAGAAGAGGGGGGAGGAGGGGAGGGAGAAGAAGAGAGGAAGGGGGAAGGGAGTAGGGGCGGAGGAGGAGAAGAAGGGGGCGCAGATGCAGCAGCACGTCGAGAAGGCACGCCTATGAGGACCATCGCCAAGAAGAGGCCGACGTAGTGCCGCAGGAAGTACGTCAGCGAGAAGGCAACGATCGACACCACGAAGATGCAAATGGCCGACTGCCCCAGCATGGCGCAGGCGCCTGCTCTCGAGGCCGAGTTGGAGGAAGCCAGGCACTGCAGACATAGAAATTTTCGGAGGTCTGTGCGGATGCCTTGGATCGGCGCTGCGCCGATCCAAGAAATCCGCGCGGACGGCAGGAGCGCGGGCACGCTGGCCACCGTCATGAGGCGAAGAATTCAGCGGACCGCCTGCCGGGCTGCGCCCAGAAACTGGAAACCTACACGGCTGAACTCGCATATCCGTCGGTCAGAAGAAGTGGGTAGAGACATGAGGTAGGAAGGCGTCGAAAGTCGATGGGGTATCCAATGGCCACCTCAAGAGGAAGGAAAAGAAAAACCATTCAATGATTCGCGTAGGAAGGTGCCTTAATGGACGAGGAGCAAAACGACACAGCAAAAGCTTTTGGAGCTCCACGCAGATTTCTTGGATCTGCGCTGGGCCTCCCCTCCCTGGCGCAGCGCGCCAGGGGCGGCGCGTGAGGCGCCGCTGGGGAGGGCCCAGCGCGGATCCAAGAAATCCGCGCAGCGCGTCAAAAGTTGATGTGTGTTGGCGTTCTTCGAAGGAAGGAAGGTCCCTAAAATACACTGGAACCCTCAACGTACTTTCAACGACTTTCAACGGGAGGAGGAGGAGGAGGAGGAGGAGGAGGAGGAGGAGGAGGAGCAGGAGGAGGAGGAACCTGGGATTCCCAAAGTCCCAAAGTACGTGCTTTCAACGACCGCTGGGCCACGCGGAGGCCGCGCGCTGGACAGCACGTGCAGAGGTCTGGCAGCGCGCCCAGCCGCGCGAGGGCCGAGCGCGCCCAGCCCTCGTGCGGGACGGGGGCCGGGAACCCTGAGGGGAAAGGGATCCTGGACCGCAGGGCCGCCAGAGAGGATCGAGGATCGGGGAGGGGGAGGAGGAGGAGGAGGAGGAGGAGGAGGAGGAGGAGGAGGAGGAGGAGGAGGAGGAGAAGAGGGATAAGGAGGTCGAGGATCGAGGATCGGGGTTGGGGATCGAGGATCGAGGAAGGGAGGAGAAGGAGGAGGAGGAGGAGGAGGAGGAGGAGGAGGAGGAGGAGAATGATCGAGAGGATCGAGGGGAAGGGGCTCTCCTCGTCCAAATCCTGGACCGCGGGGCCGTCCTCGCCCCAACGCGGAGCGCCCCGGGAGCGCCGCCGGAGGCGGTGCCGGGGTGCTGAGCCCGCTGCCGACTGCTCGGGGGACCTGTTGAGGCCAGCTGGGACAACTCGGGGGACCTGTTGGTTAGAGGAAAGAGAACTATGCACATACACCGATTCTGGCCAGGCCCATCCTGAGCCCAGGATCGGTGCATACGCCCTCTACCTTGGCCAGGAAGGTGTATGTACCGATCCTGGGTCAAGGATGGGCCTTGCCAGGATCGGTGCATGTGTATAGTTCTCTTCGCCCGATTGGTGACTGCCCACCAGACAACCCCAGACTCGCCCGAGGACCCAAATCTCGGGTTGAGGGGGGGGGACCCTCGACCAAGATGGGAAGGATGCGCGGTAGGATGCAAGGGCCCTGGAACGCCGTGTTGACGTTTTCCGTGCAAAGCGCAGCAGAATGCCGAAGGATGCCGAATACCGAAGGGGCAAGGATGCAAGCGTAGCCTTGGAAAGTTGCCCCATCCTTTCTATCATGGATGACTGTACGGGCTCTACATGTGTGTCTCTCAGTGTTCCCCGACGGCCCTCCCCCCCACTGGGAGTGGAGGGCAAATCGGGGGCCCTCGGGTTCGGTCGGAGCGGTTTGGCGTCAAGGCAGCCGGGACTGCCTGAGGGGGGCCCTCTGTGCGCAGCCCGAAGCCTTGCCACCCTGGCGGAGACAGCCCCGCCCGACCGCGGGCCTACTCGGAACACGAGCCGGTCGCCACCCTCCTCGACGAGCTTGAGGGAGACCATGCCGGGCGAGGGGCCGCGCGGGGACTCAGCCAGCTTGCATGCGATGTGAGCCACCCAAGGTGGCCCAGCGCTGAGGGGGTCGGGTGATCGCGCCGCGTCGCCGATGCATTGGCGACGCCGATCACTCGATCAATGTGGGCGCCCGAAAGGGGTACGAACAAAGATGGCACAATGCGCAGCAACAGAGGTTGTCCAAAACCGACAGTGGCCGCTGGGCAGGCGGTTTTTGGTCTTCAGAGGACAACGTCCGCGGCGGCGCGGACAGCGAATCCTGTTCAAAATTAACAAAGACTGCTGTCGGTCTTTGTACCCAGTCTTTCCGTAATTACCCATATCGATCTTCCCGAATCAAATGAATTCGGCCAGCGCCCGAGCGACGGATGTCTGGGAGAACCAATGGTAAGGACTCGAGCTGCGCACAAGCAGTCCTCCCAGGTTGTGAGTCCCAGCTGACCCGCACCAGGCCGGCACAGTAGCCCAGGGCGGTCTCAGCACCTCGTCCCCGGGGCGCGGGGCGACCCGAAGGGCGGCGAACCTGGGCTGTCTGCACGCAGCCCGAAGCCTAGAGCCTTCCAGGCGACGCCGGGATGGAACACACGTGCTCTGGATCGCGCCTGATCGCTGATGCATCGGCGATGTGGCGCGACCCTTCGACGCCCCCAGCCGCTCCGGCCTCATTTGAGCGGCTCGGACGCGAGCGGCCGGGGCCGCAGTCTGGGCTCCACCTCGGGCCGACCTTCTGGCCGCCTGTGCCAAAAGCGGCTGCGGCGAGGGCCCAGATCTCCTGCATATTGTTTTTTGTTGAGCCTACCGGGGCCAGATCTCCTGCAGAGTTGTTTTCAACCGACGGACCCAAAAAGTTTCGACCCATTCTTTCGTCCTCCGATCGGCTACGCGCCATAGTGACCCCAGGCAAAACAAAACCTTTGGTGCGCGGCTGTAGGGGGGCCTGCTTCAGCCTCAGCCTCAGTCTGCCTTCAGCCTCGGCCTCAGCCTCAGCCTGCCTCAGCCTCAGCCCCAGTCAGCCTCAGCCTCAGCCTCAGCCTCAGCCTGCCTCAGCATCAGCCTGCCTCAGCATCAGCCTGCCTCAGCCTCAGCCTCAGCCTGCCTCAGCCTCAGCCTCAGCCTCAGCCTGCCTTCAGCCTCGGCCTCAGCCTCAGCCTGCCTCAGCCTCAGCCTCAGCCTCAGCCTCAGCCTCAGCCTGCCTCAGCCTCAGCCTGCCTCCTCAGCCTCAGCCTCAGCTGCCTTCAGCCTCGGCCTCAGCCTCAGCCTGCCTCAGCCTCAGCCTGCCTCATCCTCAGCATCAGCCTGCCTCAACATTCAAAATGTGGCCTGGGAGTGGAGTTCTGGGAACTCGAAGAACACGAAGTGGCCTACAGTTGGCTCCAGGCATTCAAAATCATGCCCAGGAATGAGTTCTGGGAGCTCGAAGACCACGAAGTGGCGTACAGGTGGCTCCGGGCATTCAAAATCATGCCCAGGAATGGAGTTCTGGGAACTCGAAGACCACGATGTGGCCTACAATTGGCTCCGGGCATTCAAAATCATGCCCAGGAATGGAGTTCTGGGAACTCGAAGACCACGAAGTGGCCTACAGTTGGCTAAAACAAGAATCCCCGGATTCCCCCAGATCCTGTCCGGATCCCGCCCAGACCCCCATGGGGAGTCATTATGCTCTCTTTCGACACTGCTAGAAACCTATCAGTCTTCGCTGTTAGGTAACAATGGGCAAGCCAGGTGGCCGCAGGCCACCGAAGAGGGGCGGAGGCGCGGGGGCTCTCCACGCCGACAGGAACCGTGACAATCAAGACCACCACCAACCAGGGACCCAACGGGGGGCGGAGGGGCGTCGGGGGCGGGGTCGTCGCAAGCCCGCCGAAGTCTGGTCCGCCCGGAGAGGGCCCCAAGTCGGCCCAGAGAGGCCCCCAAGACGGCCTCCGACGGCGTCAGACGGGCCAGGAAGGAATGCCCTGAGACGGCCAAAGAGGCAGGCGCCCGAGAAGCCCCCAAAGGCCCCCAAGAAGAGGCCCAAGGAGGCCCCCCAAAGGCCTCCAAATGGCTCCCAGGAAACTCCCAGGAGGCCCCACGAATGCCAACAGAGGCTCTCAAGATGCCCCATCCTCCTCCTCTCCCCCTGTTATGTTCCTACGCAGGCGACTCGCAACAGACACTGCACACTCCTAGCCACGCGTCGGGGATGCCGTGCGACCCCCCGATGCACGTGGCCAGGCAGCAGAAAACATCAGCATCGCCCAAGATGTTCATCGCAAGAGCCACTCAAACGGCAACCTCGCGGTCTCAAAATTGCTCAACACTGTCCGGATACTATCAAGCGAAGAGCATGCATTTGGTCGAATTATGGAGGCGTTTCATCGTCTGCTGCAGCGTCCGGCGTGGCCAACATCTGACGCGGAGGAATGTTGGTGAGCGAGAGGCCACGCTGCATGCATGGACCCTCGGGCGCTGCCTGCCTCAGGCCGTATAACTGCATCCGTGTGGCATCAAGTGTGCGCGGATCTTGATATGCATAGCCGCGCCAGTCTGGACAACAAGTGGATCCACTTGGAATGAGCACTTGTACCTCTGCGGTTGCATATTGATAAAACCGCCGTTTGCAAGAGCCTGGACCCTTCCTTGAATTACCACATGTTCCATTGCACTCTCCGACCCATTGACTTTCAGCACAATTCCCGCCGCACCCGTACATGTAATACACCTTCAGATTCCCGTTCGGTTCTCGGGCGAGAGCGACAAACAAGGGCCCAGGCCCAGTATCTTCCAAGTCCATCAGTCGCTTGGGGTTCACGAAATACTTAAACGGAACATCGTCTATGCTTAACGGGCCATGATCGGGTGGATTCACGTGACATGAGACAGGTAAATAGTCCCAAGAAGTCTCGAGCATGGTCACCATCTTGAATGTGCTCTCGCGCGTGTGCATCGTCACGTCTGTGACCAGGCCATAATCTTTCGAGAAATTGAAGCCCTTGACCACTGTACGAAAGCCAACGTATGAGAACACCATGTGCGGGAAGGGCGTATCCTGCAACCGACCACAAACAGACAGATGCCATATGGACCACTGCTGCACGTGGTTTCCAAGCAACGCGTCTATGGGCGAGAAGTGTAACTCCTGGGCGCGAAGTGCCCGTTTGACCTCTCTCTGGTTCACCTCGATGAAATGCTGCCCCAAGCACGGTGCGGAACATGCGCGCCTGAATCTGATATGTTCGTGGCACCATTCTCCAGACACCAAAAACGAGTTACGAATCATGACATACCGAATTGGAAACGTGCTGTCATGGGGGCAAGCTAACATGCCTGCTCTGAGGCATACCTCTAGCGCGTTCTTCATCCGATGTTTTGTCTCTTGGATTTCGCGCGCGCTCCCCGGTTTCCCCTTGACGTCTACCTGGGTCTGGAAAATCGCAAACCACGCTTTTCCAACGTTCTTGACGTTTTCATCGGCAATAATGCGACTCAGCTCAATGTTTGCTTCGGATGTTTTCGACCTCCATGTTCTTCCTGTGCCTGTGCCCATGGCAACGGGCATCTCAGCGAGAATCAAGCTGAGCCATTAAGGTGCCACCAACGAGCTACTTGACCAAAAATGGCTACGGACCCCACCCTCCTCATCCTCTTCCTCCTCCTCCTCCCCTTCCTCCTCCTCCTCTTCCTGCTGTTCCCCGCAAGTATCCCCCAAGTGTTCCCCGAGGGGGGTCCACAACAGCTGGGGAAACATATGGTCCGATAGCTTGGCAGAGCTCTTGTCACAACGCTCGGCCACATGGTCGGTTCCAAAAGGCAGGGGGCGGCAGTGATTCGCCGTAAGCATCTTCGGTAATTGGCGAAAAAATCTCAAGCGAAACGCCCGGCCCAGTCTACGGACACGTCTGGTGGTGCGACAGGGGAAAGTTCTCTACAAGGAGAACCACTTGAGAAGAGGAGTCTGATCAGAGTTCGTGCTACGCAACGAAAAAAACAAGATAGTAAGCTCCCAGACTTGTTTTCCGAGCGTCCAGCCGTGGCGACGGGGGCCCCAAAGGCCAAGGTAAGAGGAAGACGATCGGGATCGGAATCGGCCTCGTGGAATTGATGCGTATGGTCCAAGCCATTGCGAGGGGTTCGAAACCGCGCCGTGCGCGAACCCAGAATTGCAAGAAGAAGAAGAAGAAGAAGAAGAAGAGGAGGAGGAGAAGGAGACGCAGGAGGAGGTTAATTCCTACTCCTGTTCCTCTTCCTCCTCCTCTTCCTCCTCCTCCTCCTCCTACTCCTCCTCCCCTGAGATCCGATGCGCGCAGACTGGGAGGGGGACCACCGCGAGCGGCAGCGCTGCCTGAAGCCGAGCGTCCAAAGGCCATCCATATGTATAGATCCTGGGGCCTGCGGTGGTCGTACAGACGACGTTCATAAGCAGCCTGACTTCTATGAGACTGTCCTCCCAGAGCATATTACTACTAGGTAACCGTGGCCTTTGTGTCTTCGCATGCGCAAGAGGCTGAGGCACGCTCGACGCAATGACGATGATGACGACGAGTGGCTTCCAAAGAAAGCGAATTTCGTCATCAGCCACTTTCAAAAAAAACGATGTGGTTTGCGATCGGAATTCAATTAGAAATGCGCCGATCCCAGCCTTCCCGCATAATTTTACAATATCCTGTCTACTTTGAAATAGGAGCTCAATGAGAAATGCGCCAAGCCAAGCCTCCATCTGAATTCTATCGTATTCTCCATGAGAACTAAATCGAAAATGCGCCGGCCCCATCCCCCAGCAGAATTATTGACAATCAGTTTTCTTAGCCAATGGTAGTTCAATGAAAAATTCGCTGGTTGCAACCTGCATCCCGCAGTCTTGTTGAATATCCGATTTGTTGTTCAATCGAAACTCAATTGGAGATGCGGTGGTCTGGGGATCGTGGGGCTGGAAATCCAAGCTGGCTGACAACCGTTTGGGACAAACCATGACAAACCAAACAAAAATCAACATCATTTTTGCGACGGTTCCCACAACAGAAACTTCTGTCATAGAAAATCGGTATGGGGGGGGGGGGCGTACTGAACAAAAAAACATGCATGAAACCAAATGAAAGACCCACCACCAAAAAAACAAAGCAACTAGTCCTTGTGAAAGGGCCACAAACACACAACAACAACACACATCATGTTGCAATTCAGTCGGCAAGAGTCCACAGATCGACTAAGTTCTGGAATATGTTGAATGTTTGTTGTTTCGCCCTCACAAGGATATATTGTATGTGTTCTGCTTGCTGTGTTGTAATGGTTTACACGTCTTCTTGTCACTCCGAGCCCCCCCAACCCAAATAAGTTATGAAATAAGTGTTCTCTATTTTTGGGAACTCTTACAAGGACTAGATGTGTTGTTCAATGGTTTCCCATTGCGTGCGGATTCCAAGCCCCCCAGACCGACTACATTATGAACTCCTTATTTCTTCGTTGCGTTGGGACCCTCACAACGATTGGTATATTTTTTTTGACTTGTTCTGGAAGTTTGAATGGTGTTCATGGTTTTTGTGATTCCGAGCCCCCCAGACCGATTAACTTTTGAAATGCTGATTTGCTCATGTGTATGGAACCCTCACAAGGATTAGTTGGACGTGGTTTGTTTCGTATGGTAGTTCTATGCTTGTGGAGCTTCTCCATCCGACTGCTCTGACCAGTCCTCCTCCTCCTTCGCCTCCTCCTCCTCCTCCTCCTCCTCCTCAGAGGTTCTCACAAGCACTGCAGCGAATCAGTACGGCAGACAAGCAGCAGCAAACAGACAACAGCACGCATCACACACAGAGCATACAAACCGATGCAAATAGACAGAGGCTACTAAACTCCCTCCTGGCGATTGCTACTACCCCTACTACTACAACAACAACACATACTACTACTACTACTACTACTACTACTACTACTACTACTACTACTACTACTACAACTGCTAGGACGACTACGACTACGACTACGACTACACGTACTACTACTACTACTACTACTACTACTACTACTACTACTACTACTACTACTACTACTACTACTACTACTACTACTGATACCACTACTACTGCTACTACTACTACGACTACTACTGCTACTACTGCCACTACTACAACTACAACTGCTACCACTACTACTACTACTACTACTACTACTACTACTACTACTACTACTACTACTACTTCCACTACGACTACTACGACTACTACTACTACTACGACTACTACCACTACGATTTCTGCTTTTACTACAACGACAACCGCTACTGCGACGACGACGACTGCTATTAATACTACTAGTAGTACTACTACGACAACAACTATTAGCATTACTACTACGACTACTACTACCACTACTACTTCTACTACTATTACTACTACTCCTACTACTACTACTAACACTACTACTACTACTACTACTACTACTACTACTACGACTACTACTACTACTACTACTACTACTACTACTACTACTACTACTACTAGTACTACTACTACTACTACTGCTACTACTACGGCTACTACCACTACTACTGCCTCGGCCACTACCACTGCCACTACCACTGCCACTACAACTACTCCTGCTACTGATACTACGACTACGACGACGACTACCACTACTACTACTACTACTACTACTACTACTACGACTACTACGACGACTACTACTACTACATATTGCTACTACTACTAATAATAATAATACTACGACTACTAATACTACTACTGCTACTTCTGCTGCTACTACTGCTACTACTACGACTACTGGTGCTACTACTGATACTACGGTGACGACTACTGCTGGGGCAACTACTACGACTACAGCTACAAAGACGGCGGCGACTACTACTAGTACTTGTACTGCTACTTCTACTACTTCGACGACTACCATTGCTACTAGTACTACTACTACTACTACTGCTACTACTACTACTACTACTACTACTACTACTACTACTACTACTACTACAACTGTCAAGTTTACGAAGACAACTACGACGACTACAACTATTACTACTACTAACGATGCGACCACTGCTACTACTTCTGCTGCAACTGTTCCTGGTAGTCGTAGTAGTAGTAGTAGTAGTAGTAGTAGTAGCAGTAGTAGTAGTAGTAGTAGTAGTAGTAGTAGTAGTAGTAGTAGTCGTAGTAGTCGTCGTAGTAGTAGTAGTAGTAGTAGTAGTCGCCGTAGTAGTAGTAGTAGTAGTAGTTCTACTACAGCTACTACTTCTACGGCTACGACTGCTACGACAAGTAATACTAAACCTGCAACTGCGACTCCTGCTGCTACTACTACTGCCACTACTGCGACGACTACGACTACTACCACCAATTCGCCTACTACTACTGCGACTGCATTTCTACTACTACGACTAGAACTACTACTACTGCATCTACGACTACGAGTAGGACTGCTACTACTTCTTCTTCTTCTTCTACTACTACTACTACTACTACTGCTGCTACTACTACTACTACTACTACTACTATTACGACGGCTACCACGACTACGACTGCCACTACGACTGCGACGACGACTACTACTACTACTACTACTACTACTACTGCTGCGACTACTACTTTTACTACTACTTCTGCTGCTGACAACAATACCACTACTACGACTGCGACGATTACTGTGACCACTGCTACGCCGACTACTACTAATACCGCTATTACCACGGCGACGGCTACTACTACTACTACTACTACTACCACTACTACTACTACTACTACTACTACTACTACTACTACTACTACTACTACTGATACTACTACTACTGCTACTACTACTAGTAGTACTACTACTACTACTGCTGCTGCTACTACTACTACTACTCCTGCTACGACTACGGCTACGACCGTGACCGCTACAACTACTACGGTTACTACTCGCACTTCGGCTGCGACGACTACTACTACAACAGCTACTAGGAGTGCTTTTGCGACGCCTGCTGCTACTAGTTATGCTAATGGTACCACGGCTGCTACGTCTACGGTTACGGCTACGGCTACGACTGCGACTACGAGTACGACC